TAACTATTCTATGATTCTATGATTTCTGTGGCGTGAGCAAAGGACTAGTTTGTTTATCTGTGTGCCTGACCATGTTAGTGTTGTCTGTGTGTGTCTCTCCATCTTTGGATCTTCTGTTCAGTTTCATTACTGGCTGGACCTAAGGATAGGGAAGTGCAGCAGCAGCACCTACAAGGTTCAAACTAGGGGAGCCCCTGGAGTCTTAAGAGCTCAAAATCAACTCTATCAGACCAGGGATGCCTCCGCTGGTCCTGAAGCTCATTGGATCCAGATCCTGTTATCACCTGCCTAACCAGTCATCCTTTGTTTTGTGTTTTCTTTAATTAAAAACAAACAACTGAACACCCACCACAAAACCAAAACAAAACCCCAAACCAACCAAAACACCCTCACCCCCCTCCGCATGCCCAATACCGAAAGAAGCAGCTTCTAATTTCTGGTCCAACTGTTAGAGAAAGTATGTACCAGAACAGTCCTGCCACATGCAGTAAGCAGACCACCAAAAGTTCCTGAAAACCTTTAATTTTAAAATGAAGCCCACTGAACATCCTCCCTGAAAACCACAAGCATCTGAAGGACTACAGAAAAAAAAGTTGAGTCAATAACAAAAGATTCTTTTCACTCTGAAGTTTTTTTACTAGAACTTAGTACAGAGCAGGGATAAACATACTTCTGGATTTGTCTTTTCAGGGAAAGCTATAGAGCTATCACTACTTTCTGCAAGCTCTCATAAGACATTTCAGAACTGCCAGAATTCCAGTGTTGCCAGAACATGGCAACACTGCACTTCGTTCAGTGAATCTGTGTCTTATGGGATTACTTCTGAAAGTTCATTTGATGAGATGTTTGTGATAGACAAGTGTAGCAAATAATTAATGCTGTAGAAAAGTAGCATAACCCATTAGTTAATTTACATTAATAGTACACAACATGGATGGTTATGCTTTTTTTTTGTAAGAACACATGAAAACCAGGCTTGGTATATACCTACCTGTGCTGCTCGAAGCTCTGAAATCAATTCTGTGAAGCTCTGATTTCTAGCTGGTTCAGAATCCCGCACGATTTGTGAGTGGATATTAGTCTTCTCTACCTTTTCTCTAAATGACAACAGCAAACCAGTTATGCGATGTAGTGACTTCGCATAATTAACAATGGTGTACTAAAAAACTCCACTACCCCCAACCCAACTCCCCCAGAACAGTACCACAAAGTCAATTTATGCTGGCTCAAAACGAAGGAAGAAGCAACATCTCCCTACCAAAAAATTTCACCTTTAAGGTGAAGCCTTCTCACTTGACACAAACTTGTTTGTTAGGACTATGCAAGGATAGGAAAAAAACCCTGCTGTACATCAGTGGAAGTCATCTACAGGGCTCTCCCAGTCAAAGATTTCTAAGTGAGAAGCACATGCAATGCTAGGTTTTTTCCTCCATACTAGCACAGGATACAAATCTTATAAGACCTACAGTGCCGTGAATATAATGGTTCCTCCACTACCAGGATCTCTTGTCCCTGATTTACTGTGTATCCTACAACAGTATCAAACTATTTTGACATGTTAGCAGAGCTGTGATACCAGAACAAGTGTAGTATATGTATTACACGTTCTGGTTTGAGTATTTGAATTTTAGCATTGAAATATTACCCAGTGGGAGACTCCACTCTTCCCACAAGTCTGCAACATCAGCAAGAACACTTACAAATAAAGTGCACACAATAAACATAAATTAATTCTCCAAAGGAAAAATAAAACCAGAAACACCAGAAAAAATGCACCTGAAAGCATCTGCAGTGATTCATCATAAACAAAATAATAAACAAAGCTGAAAACTCCAGAGATTTTAGGACAGATGTTTAAATGAGCTTACCTTAAAGCTATTAATTCAGACATTACACACTGATTCTCCTTAAACATTTGTTCCTCATTTTTTTTGTTTTGGATTTGTAGCTCTTTCATTTGTTTGTATAACTTCTCGTTTTCCTAAGTTGAGACAGAAAAAGTTAAAGAATTCCCACAAATTAGTTTAAAATAAAAATTGTCTATGACTTGCATAGTTTATCTACTGAAACAGTGGAAGCAAACACTAAATGTTTTGTTACTCAGTTTCTGCAATGGGTATTTACTTTCATTATGTTTATGCTGAAGTAATAATACACAGTGACCTCTACAGTCCTGTCCAAGCACATATTCACTCTGGAGAACTAGGTCAGTTCCTCTGCAAAGCTATCCCAACTATATTCTAAAAGCACATACATGCATGGGTGCTGATACATCAGAGCTCAGCCTGCCCATGCTCCAACCTTGTGGACACAAACCATTACCAATTTGGGATGCTCACAGCCATACTGGCAAGACATCGAGCCAATATCAAGACATGCTGCCAAGCACCAGCTGGAAGCTGTTTAAACTAACTTATTTGGTTTTACAGCTGCAAGTATTCAAAGGGATCATTATCTATTCTACATTTGACTAAGTAATAAGAATCAGGCACACTAATAAGGTTTCCTTGAATTCATCAGCTCAGATTCTGTGAAAAACATCTTCAAAACAGAACCCTCCAGATTTCCAATACTGCTTAAAAATACTAGTTTTCTCTACATTTGGGGCAAAAAGTTTGTGGTTCTTTATTGGCCATAAAGTATTTCCCCAGTTCTCAACTGACAAGTCAGCATATTTTACAATTCAGAACAGTTACAAGGAATTATGGAAAAACTTAGCCCAAACTAGACATGTGTGAAATACTTTTTAGATGTGCAATACATGTTTGCCCTTCACACCTAAATTTAATCCACTGTTTAGATGGCAAGATAACTGTTTTCACCAGTGAAGTAGTAACCATTAAAGAATTTTGTTTCTGAAACTGGCTAGAACACAGCTCAATACACTGTATGCTATACCTGTTGATAACCTTGAATAATGACCTCTTGATCTGCAATTTCCTTTTGTATTTGTGCCAGTTTTTCTTCAGTGACAGGAACCGTTGCTGTATGATAGGTCCATCTCTTTTCTTGAGTCAGCTCTTCCATGCTTCTTAACTTTCAGAAAGAAAAAGACACACAGTTAATAAGAAAGCTGTCAGCAGTCAGCAATATGGAATTCTTTACAAGACTACACTTTTACAATACAAATAGGCTGATCTTTTCACTAAGATATGAAAGTAGACCAATAAGTCAATCTTATTATTGGAGATTTATATAAGCATTATGAAACACAAACAAAGTATAAGAGGTTTAGGACAAGTTAACAAAGTTTTACCCTCCCCCTCTTCTGTTCTTATGTATCTAGACAGGAGGGTGTAGTGGAATAACCCTAGGAATATGCCATATAAGCTGAACAGAACATTGAAAAATGCATTTAAAAAAATAATATCTCAACATACAGTACTTCTTTGTAACAAGTAGTATCTGTTAAAAGTGAGTTAAATCTTTGCAAAAAACTGCTGCAGTTTTTCCAAATAGTAAACTAAAGGAACTCATGATAACATAGTTCATCTCAGTGGAAAAAAACCAAACCCAAACAACAGCTCATGTCTTCTGAGCAATAAATGTAACAGTGGGGATGCATTTACAAACTAGTCGTGTCTGTGTAAATCTGGATTTTCTGTTCACTAACAACTCCTGTAAAATAACTATAGCAGTGTTTCTCCTGTTATATGGTAATGGGATACAAGATGATAAAGTACCTTACTCTGAAGAACATAGTTTTCCTGACCCAGCCGAGAAAGCTCTTTTTCATGCTGTATTTTCAACTCTACTATCTTTGTCTCTATTTCTTTCTCTTTTTGTGAAACCGTGCTGGTTAGCTGTTGAACCAAATCACGAGCTGTGTTCAGCTCCTCCTCCGCAACCTGTACTCGTTTTAGCAAATACAGTTCTCTATCACGACTCTTGATAGGAGAAAACGATAAATCCTAGTGAAGAGAAAATTCAGGGACCCATTACACTGAACTGATTGTTTATCAAAAATTCTGCTCAGCAATTTTATTTAACTGGCTTGTCTGGCTCTCAGCAACCACATAAGGCACTTGGAAATGAAAAAAAGAAAAGACTCAACAACCCCCAATCCCATCCCCTTCCCCCAGTGTTTCAATTGAAGAATACCTGCATTTACTTTAATGAGCTACTTCCTCATTTCTGAAATATGTATGAGAAAAACAAGCTACAAAACCCAACAAGAAATAAATGCCTCTCATATGACAGCTATCAGAGTTCTTCTATTATGCATCTTTTTGAAAAAGCAGTAATGATTTAGGTATTCAATGAATAATTTTTTTCTCATTTGATAAGGAAGAAGGATAATCCATCATGATCCTGCAAATTCAGTCACCTTGGAGAAGTCAGAAGCTACTATTAAATATTCAATGCAATGCAAAGCGAAAAAACCCTGAACACTAGTACTATTTAACATTCATAACAGGATACTTAAAAGATTTTTTTAAAATTTTCCCCTTTTCTACCACAAAGTAGTAATTTTTAGAAACTAATAAGCATTCCAACTAAGTATATAGAACCACTCAAGCAGTACAATTATGCAAGCAACAAAAGAGTGGTATAATTATAATTGCGTATTTTAAAAGCAACAACTAGTCTTTGACTGCAGGAAAGTCTTTATTGAACATTTCAGCATTTGCCAATCTTGTGATAATTATTAAATGTCTTGATAAAATAGGCTTATGAACCAAGTTGTACATACTATAATTAGGAGCACCACTGATTATTACTTACATGCTGATATTGCCTACAATAATCCACGGCCTGCTGTCCCAGATTATTAACAACTGATTGGCCTGACATAGCTGTGTTAACACTTCCCTTCAAAGTTCGTTCATTTGTTGCAGATCTTATTATCCTAGTAGCGAATAAAGCTTCTTCATTTAGGCAGAAAGTCAAAGAGAACAAAATTAAATTCAGAATTTAACGTCCTATCAGAAGAATCTATTCACATAATCCACACCTTAGGCATACAGAGTGAGTATTCTACAATCTGAATTTTTGAATTAAATATAAAAACTTGAGAGAAATGAGACATTATGGAAAATGTAGGGTTTTGTAAGTAAGCAACTGATGACAAGATAAAACAGAACCCAAGGGAATAACTGAAACAAGTAGCTGCATAATAAATCCTTCATGAAACAAGGTTAACCTCAGTTCTCTGTTCTAGAAGTGGCCAGTTACCCAAGTTACAGAAACACAACATATTTCAAGCTACGGTGAAGGTAAGACACAGCCATTTTCAAAATGGACATTGGAGTGCAGACAGCATACAAAGACACGTAACATTTATTTGTGGCATCAAATAGCAACTTCATTGGAAATTAAAAATTGAGGAAGCTCCCCCTAGAGTAACTAATATACACGGAACTATTGACATCTTAGTCTTCCAAAATACAGTTAACTACAACTGCTGTTTGATTTCTGCCTATAGCAACTTAAGCTAAGAGCTCCTGCTTAGGAATGTTATACCTGAAAACAAATAAGCAATGATAATTTTCAAAATTTAATACTTTTTACATTTCTCACACTATCCCCTCACAATGGTGCTCCCTTAGCACTGATGATTATTAGGGGATTTTCTGATTCAATACCATTCTCTTCCTAGCTATAGAGGTCCCTGCAGAATGCATCCTGGTGAAATTAACTTCTGAAGTCACCTTAAATTGCTATGGACAATAGTTATAGCTAGAGAGGGAAACACACGTTTGGATGACACTAGTGGCCTCATTTTCTTGAGACTCATCATTCACTTTACCACCTCCATCTAGCTGTGCACCATCCTCTTCTCCAGGAAGTGTCACAGCAATGCACTGAGGAACTAAGGCTCCTTAGTTTGACAGCTGCCACAACTCTCTGAGAGAAGCAACATAACCCTAAACTGCTTTTCCCAACACTGCTTGCATGGTTTTTAAGCACACATGCCAAAGTGTGCTAAAACCTTGGCATCTGTAGAGTTATTTTCCCATGCCTCAGAGATAGCAATCATCATCACAAAGACGCTAAACTAAATTATCTCATGAAACTCTTCAGGCTTCACCCCCCAAAAACCAGTTCAGTCCTTTACTTGCAACTCAGCTTTCACAGGACTATAGTGGTATTCTCCTTTTCTTCGCATTAGAAGAAACAGGACCAGAAAATAAGACTTTCTTTCTAGTGCTTTCTTTGTAATCTAGGAAAGCAAAGATAAGAAGCAGCAGCTGAGAAAAGAAATTGAGGATCACACAGAGAAATTAGCGTGTCAGCAAACCTTTGCACTTACTGTAATGAAAAACGTAACTCAGACATTTATTTTGAACACCAGCTTTTCTATTGTTTTGCTCCTACAGGTGAACAAGAGTGAAAACTCATAGTGGTGGCATATGCAAGTGGAAATGAAACAAGACTACAGTGCAAAGTTTTATTTAAAAGTCTCTCTTCTAGCAACTTCATGCTGCTACAGAAAGAATTCAGTACTTAACTGTGTCTGGGTTAAGATTTCTTCTACTTTTTTTTTTTTTTTTGTTATATGAAGCATGAACAGCAAAGCTCTCTGGCTCTTAAAACTCAGTCTTCTTATGACAGAATTACCTTTAGATCTTGATTTATCTGCAGGGCTTTTGGCTTTCACGTTGGTCTTTTTGAAAGTTTCTTTCGGTGTTTTCTTTTCATTTACTGGAAAAGACTGTTTTGACAGTGAATTGGGTTTCCCATACCCAGAACTTCTAACCACCCCATGAGGACCATATGAGGATTTCTTTTTATGTATAGGTGCTGGACTTCTGATATTCTTATATAACGTTGGTTTAGTTGTCATTGATTCTGATCTTTCATTCTTCAAGGAACAAGACCGAAGAGTCTGTGATAGAGCACATTCGTTTAAAACGGGCTTTAGGGTCTAATGTAATCTGAAGGTAGGTTTCACTCTTAAAAGAACATAGAACCAGTTACCAGATTTAAACAGCTGTAAGGCTTGGGGTGTCAGGAAGCATTATTTTTAACCAAAATAATAGTATGTAGTTTTACAGAATTTAACTGCTTTAGAAGTGTACATAGTACAAATAAAGCTCTGTTTAATTGTTCCGGGAAGTTGTATTACATTACAGGTTCTTTAGCTTATCAAAGCATGTAATTCATGCCTAAAGACTAACCACGGTGAACACAGAAACCCAGTGATGAAGAGAGAAATAGGGTCAGGCAGAGGAACCCTGCTATACTTGATCATCAAAAACATCAGCAAGTAAGAAAGCTTAGCCTGTGGGCCCCAGCAGGAAATCCACCACAATGAATCCGCCAAACAATCTCTCTCCATGCAATGCCTGGTTGATATTACTTACTTGTTTAGTTTTGCTGCCTTGTGAAAGCAGAGTGTCTTGTACTATTTCTTCTCCTAGTATATCAGGCTGTACTTCACTGGTCTGAATTTCTTTCTCAGTCACCCTCTGAAGGTTACTGTCATTCACACCTGTTTGCACAAAGTTGCTCTCTTCTCTGTTAATTTTTTCAAATAACTTTGTCTTGCAAATAATATTAATCTGGTGCTCTTTAACGGGTGAACAGGTGCTGTGGTCATTTGCTGTGCTGCCTACCAGCTTCACAGGACTACAAGAGAAAGGAATAAAGTCATATATAACAAGAATTTTGCCTTTTGCTTTTCTATCAATCGAGAAAAAGTGGGCCATTTTTCATTTAGGTATCAGCTGTAAAGACTGCTTGAATTTGAAAGAGATTGTATGCTTCTTTTAAGAACAACCTAGCAGATTTAGTTACGCAGATTCACTCCCACACAGTGGGACAAGAGCCATTTCCCAGCAGTGACTGTTTTTGTGGAAGTACCAAACCTGGCTACAAGATGAACACCTGCAAGCATGCAATTAATGCTAATAAAACAATGAACAGTAATTTCTGCTGGGTGCAGCTACATGATAAACTCCCAAATCTTATTTGCTAAGCATACCCTATTTCTGACAGTTCAAGGGCCTGTGTTTTCTGCTCTAGACACAGTAGCTGGAGCAAACCAGAAGGAGGTATGGAGCACAGGTTAGTAAGATTTACAAGAGTAAGTAGAATAAGAGGATTTGATCTTAGATTATGGAGGTTGGAGAGCTAGGATAGGATGTGGTCTGAAATCCATGTATGGAAGAGGGGAAAGAGCAGAAGACTGGAAAAGCAGAGATGCTAGTTGTGGTAGCTGTGAGAGTGAGGAACACTCCTCCAAATGATCTGGCAAACATTGCTGCTTATCACTCAGAGTCTGGGAATCCCCAGTCTAAACCAATTTATATTTCACTGCAAATACCATAATGCCAGTGCAAGATATAATGGAATTTCAACATTTAACTGGGGAAAAAGACAGACAAGTTATTTAGTAAGCTGCCTTTCACAGTTAATGGACTTAAGTTATTACAATTCTTAATGCATTCAGAAGTAAATACCTTTCATGCTCCAGATCAAAATTTCTGACATTACATGAATGTCCTTTAATTGGTTTCATCAATTCTTCCACAGTAGGCAAATCTAATTAGCACAAAATAAAAAAAAAATAAATAAGAAACTTGGGAAAAATATTTGTAAGAAGGATAACATTTAAGAATGGTTTATAAAAGGAGTATTAAAGATATTACTAGTTCACTCATTTTACATACTTGTACAATACATGCCTGCCTTTGAGGTATTTACCTGATTCAATAGTTGACACGCCTTTTGAATAGACATCATTATTTTGTGAAACACCTTGCACTATGCATTCCGAGACTGCCACTGCAGGATCGTGCAGCTTTTGCTCATCAGCATCTCCCAAAGACTGATCAATATCACGGTACGCTTGGTGTAACGCTTCCATGTCACTGGTGGTTTGTCCATAGGAAGTGCCTGTGAAAAATGCAGGCTCGTAAGAGACACTACAGGATTTTCTGTTTTGGGAAACATCTCACTGGAGCCTGTGCTTCAGTTACTAACTTGGTGTATTTTGTGGTGAGAACAGTGATTTCAGTTGTCTTAAAATCTCATTTTTACTATAAACAGTGCCAAGTTAATTAGTATACACAAAAGAGTCCCATCTTCGGTTTACATGCCTCCACACCCCCTTCAACTGCCTCAATATTTTATCAGTACTAAAACTAACGGCATATGTGATAAACTTTTTTAACAGATGCCACCAGAGTCATACTCTGAATATATATGGCATACACTATTGTAAGAAGTTTGGCAAGAGAATGTATTTTACAATTGTTTTCAACACTGTCAAAGAATTTTAGCTATGGGGAATAATCAAAGGAGATGGTATTTAAATTCAAACTGCAATGTCAAAAGCAACTTTACAATAACCAAGTGTAAAAAAGTATCTTTAGCAGAAGCATGACTTTCTCCTGAAATACTTACTCCTCCTTTCAAGATTTGTTACTGAAAGCCAGGGGCTTCATGTTCTCTGATAACCTAAGAACAAATGAAGACATCAGAGCCACCTATTCTACCAAAGTAAGATTCTGAGAGTTGTGTTTTGTTGTGTGTTTGGTCTTTCTTTTTTGAAAAACAAAACAAACTAACAAAAAAGTGTGTGTGTGGTGGTTTGTTTTTTTAAAGCAACCCTTACCTGCTTCATTCATTTCAATTCCACTGACTTCTTCAGGCAGATAATGTTCACCTAGAGCTCTATCTGATGTTTCAACAGCTTTCTGAAGTTCTGTAGTTGAATCTTGTGAATCAAGTAATACAACTAAATCCAAGAAGATAAATGTTAAAGAAAACACAATTTTCTTATTTATACTTAATCTTAACTAGAATTAGAAGTATACCAAAGCTTATCTTGATGTCTTAAACTACAATGGCATTATTTGCATAACTGATTAATTCTGACTGTAAGCATCAAACTCTGAGTACTGACTATATGTAGTAAAATTAAAAATTACACTGATGATCACTTTGAACTGCTAATATGCAGATTAATTTTTAACCATTTCAGTCCAGCAATCTTTCAAGTAGAACACAAAATTAAGGTGAAAAATACCAAAATAGTAGAAATCTGGCAAGCAAGTTTAAAAAGTTACATAGAGTATTCTTCTGCTTATCAAAGTTTATATTTTACCTTTAGCCAGCATGCCAGCATTTACTTCTTCCTAACAAAGAAAAAACAAATATTACTTTTTAAATTTCAGGGGGGAAAGAAAATCTGGACAAATTTTAAAAGTTGATCCAAAATCTAAGAACAGTTCTTAGAACTCAGAACTAAGCAGTTCTTCATGTTCCAAGAATATGCACTTCTCTAAAATTCTCCTTAGGATGACAAAAGGTCTCCAATGTCCTGTACTCTATAAAATCTCTCAAAAGTGACCAGGAACAAAATGCTACTCTGCATAAATGGATTAATATTTTTGCACTACCCTGATTCTCTTGTATTGTAATTGGAGAAAAGAAAATAAAGTAGCAAGTAGTTGTTCTTTTCAGACATTTATCAGAAATACTGTTCTAATAAACTTACTTAAAAAGAATGTAACCCCCTCATCTATCTATTATGGATGAACATGTGGTGCTCTATAGATTCTTTTCATAAAAAAAGCCCCAACAAATCAGAACACGCGCTCCAGGAATGCACCTGATGTGTTCCAGCCATGTGCTCCACATCAAAAGACCCGACTAAGCTAGTCAACAGTAATACTCCCAAATCTCACACAGGGTAGACTTTGGGTCCTGTGTCCAACCTGCTTCTCTGTACCAAACTACTTCTCTCAGTCTTTGCTGGTGTAGACACCACCTTAATAGCTCTAAAAGAGAGACTAATCACCACCCATTCTGAGGGTGAGGCTCCAACCTGAGCTCGTAATTCATGCACTCCCATCCACAGTTCTTAATTCGAAAGAGGAGTAAGCAGGAAACCCTGTTAAGAACCCTATTAATCCTTTCAGTGATTTATCACAACCATTGCATACCCCTAATAGAACAATATAGTCTTAGGACCATTATATTATTTTCCTTCAGGCAGTACCCATTATATAAAGGTTTACTATATTTGCAGTTATCCATTGCAGAGTTTTTAAAATGCATGCAAGTACATAAGCAGTTATACCTGTTCTTGAGGACTTAAATCAATTCCTGAAATGATGTTTTGATTCACCTGACTTCCTTCAGTTTTAAAGGCAGGATCAGAATCTGTTTCTTCTTCAAAATCTTCACTGTAGCTGCCTGAAGAGTACAATAAACATCGAAGAGAATGAATATTCAAGGAAGGTAAAGCAGTAAGGGAAAGCTATTTCCTTTTCCCTAATCTAGGAAGAGCTACTGCCACTGCTATTCTTTTCACAAAGTCAACAGAAAGGTTTTGAGACTGGATGTGGTACTAAAACTACGGTAAAAGTGACACTAATGTCTCTATATTCTAATGAAGTTTGTGTTACGATCAGATATACTTTACCTGTCTCCTCAAGGCACAATTGAATTGACCCTTTTTATTCAATGACTTTCACTAAGGGGTGAAATGATGTAATTCCCCCCCTAGTAGGCAAGGTACTCTGTACATCCACCTTGACAACACCAGCAGTTTTTAGGCTCAGAATCTGTAATTCTGCTTCTTCTGACCTGCTCTGGCAGCCCAACAGTACTCTCAAGAGTAAGCATTATTTAAAACCACAAGTGTGCCAGAGAATGAATTTTACAAGCAAGCAAAATGCTTTTCTTCAGTTACCTAGATCCTTCCACAAGTTCTGATTTCCTGTTGCCCTATCTCCCCCTACTCAGCTCCTGTTCAGTGTCTGCATTATCTAAAATGCCTAAATCTAGAAACATTACAACACACTGGTTTATAACGTGTTGTGTGTTCTGTCACCATGCGACTGACACACAGTTGAACTCATATGTAAAAATTACTCTCTGAAAAGTCACTATACTTCAGTATTCTCTTTGGTTTTGGACCGTGATCTGATCAGCTGAAAATAGCTCTTTCCTGATGACTTCAGTCATACACAGCACTTGTATCACTCCTGCACACGTATTATCCATTTGTTTCATTCATGAAATAGCAGTTTGACAAAGAATAAACCAAACCACAGGCAACACAGAGACTGGTCATTATGAGTATTTCATATAAACTGTTTTCCTAAAAATCAGAAATGTCAATTTCATAAACTGACCATAACAATCAAGTAATTTCAACTGTTTTGTTAGAAAAAAGGCTATAGAATCTGTTGTAGAATTTCTGCTATAACTATAGTGATCTGTTGCAGTCTAGAGAGTAATCAAGCTTTCAAGTAGAAAAGATTTCTTATGATTATAGTTTGCAAATACAGCCTCTTTGTGTCTGGGAAATTCAAGCCTGACAATGGGACCTCTTCAAAAGTTCAGCTAAATACAGAAATTCAAAGATACACTCTACTGATTAAATTAGAGGAATACACTCTTTATCATATGCTAGCAAGAGTGAAATAGAGATGACAAGTAAAAGACAAATAAGTAAGATGGAAGGGGCATAGCATGCAAATTTGTGGGAAAAAAAACAGGTAAGAATATTCTGCAGATTACAGAGATTAAATGCAGGCATGATTAAGATGGTACAAAAATACAGATGACAGTTAAGACATTAGAATAGCTCAAACTTTAAGACATATTTCAACATCAGAGTCACTTTTTCTTCATTTTTTTTATTAATAATTGGGTTTGGTTTTCCTTTCTGTTTGTCTTTTAGGTCACAACAGATTAAAAATCCACTTCAAAAAAATAAACTAAAGTTTAAAAAAAAGCACATAACCAAAAGCAAACCCCTGAAACTCTCTGTGTGAATAACAGCCACACAGTCATAATACAAAAGCAGCCTAAAAGGCTGATGTGAGAACTACAGATAAATGAAAATAATATGAAAATTACATTAGCTTTCAGATAGATAAAAGGTTTACCCACAACAGTCAGGGTGACACGGGACCAGAAGTCAATTGGTTTACACATTATTCAGAACAAAAATATTCAGTGAGAATGCTGGACTCTCTTGTGAATCTGAGACCTGGAAAGAGTCAAGTTTTCTGACTAGCTCCAAAGGGAACACATGGTATAGAACAAACCACAAGACTGTAGTACATTTCCTCTTTCCAGATCTTTAAATTACATCCCTCTACAAACACAAAGATTATGTTATCCTCTGACACCCTGCTGTGATGTTTTCTGAAGTTCTGCATTTGAGCTGGAGCACTAATGCACAGCTTTCATTTCTGTAATTGTTTAATCAGGTTTTCACAACTCTTAGTGTACATGCAGCAATTTAAAGAAAAAAAACAAAAACAAAAAAAAACGAAAAAAACCCCAAACCAAACCCCAAACCAAACAAAACAAAACCCCAAAGGTAAGGATTTAGTAAGATGGCAGTACCAGATTTCTCTTCATGTGCGGCTTCCTCTTCTTTTTCAGTTTTTTCATTTCTGAGGAAAATAAATGAAAATTTGACTCTTCTTGTACAGCAAATAAATATAGCTTTTTTCAGACTCCAAAAGTTTGACATTTCTTACAATTAGCAATAAAATTAAAAGCTTGAATTTGTCCATCATATCAAGTCAGAGGTAAGAAAGGCAGATAAATGTCTGCAATTATTACAATAAATATTTAAGTTTTTACAAACTGTCCATAGTTAAAATTCTCAATCTAACTCTTAAAATCATTCCCTTTCTGCATTCCCCCCAACATCTACATTAGCTTCTCAAAGAAATTTTTATCATCAGGTCTGCTTCCTGTTCTGACCTTCTCATTCTGCATTAACAAAAAAATATAAATCTTTCCTTTCTTCCCGCTTTTCCTGCAAAGCTGAAGTTTTGTCCTTAATTAAGACTCTCCAGAATTCTAACCTTCCAACAGCTTTCATATTGGAAGTTAACTTTTCACTCAGCATTTTTAGCAACAGCAGCCTGAAGTGCCCCTTGAGCTATCTCTCACTTATGCTTGAATTTATTTTCACATAACTCATTACAAATGGATTGTCCTAGTCTATGAAGATTTTGTATCTTTCCTCTAGATTAATTTGTAGCATCATGTCCAAGAGGACACACAATCTTTGCTGATCTATTTCTTTGTTATTATCAGTTAACTCTTCATTTAGTTATACCTTACAATTAAGAATGTTAAATTGACTTGTTTCTATTGAGTTATGCACAAGAACGCAGCTATGTCCACTCATCACCAAGTCATGCTCCCACCTTACTCCTTTCTTTTATTTACTAAGCTCATGCCTGTCCTTGTCTTAAAACAAACAAGCAAACCAAAAACCCACAAAACCCCCAGGCCACAACAAACAAACAAAAACCTGACTGAAATCACAAAGGACGTTGTCCCACAAAATCTCAGTAGCCATACCCAAGTCATATGTGCCACAATTTTTCTTCCCTCTAAATTACCGTACAAATGGTTCTAGTATGACAGAATCATTGGAATCCAGCTCTTTATTTAATCTTGAATAATCAACAGTAGAGGAAGCTTCTCGTTCAAGTTTGGCAAAGAACATCTCTTTTTCTTCTTGTTCTTCCAAGGTATCCAATCCAGTTCCCATGATACTTTGATTAGGCTCAGAAGCTATAACTGAATCTAAATTTCAAAACAAAGAATAAAATAACTGCATCTGTGCTGTATGTCCACATACAATAGTCATAATAGTTGACAACAACTACAGACAGACTCATAAAATATTAGCAGTATCAAATTATCAAAAACTAGTACTAGGAGCCTTTAGTTCATGAGATGCAGCTGACAGAAGTGACAAATCCCAACTTGCAGTGAATTAAGGTAAACTGCTTGCAATAGTAATTTATTTAAATTTAACTTCATGAAACGGTTACACTCTCAGTTCTCACCATTTTCATCCAGGCTGACTCTGCTTAAGGAGACAGCAACCCCATTACTTTTCTGAAGCTGCATCTTTTTCATATGCGTATTCTCATAACTCTCTCCCTTAGTCTGTGAAGTGTTCTGTATTTTGACAAAGTTTCTACTGGCTCCAAGCATTCCTAGAAAAAAAAGTTGCAATATTCCTGATTAACATCTAAAATCTATTTTTACGACACTTTAGTCTTTCAGTCATCTTTCAGAACCACCACTTTTAATCTTATGTTGCAACTGCAAAAAAACAATCTCATAAATCACATTCATCCAATTTCCATTCTATTATGAGATATGTACATCTTGTTTAATGAGAGTTAATTAGGCTCTTATATACAACATCTTCCTATCCTTTGTATTTGCACACAACCCTAAAGTTCATCATGGGATGAATTTAGCAACTGTAAAAATTGACTTACTGTAATGTGAGGAAGGCAAATGCACACACAAACCCTATAGAGAAATTAACATTTCTTTGCTAAAAGCCTGCTCGTTTTGTTTCATCTACTATCCCAGAGAAAGCACCACAGATTTTTGAAAATCATAGCCACTGGTGTGGTGGCTACATTTCATTTGTTGCAAATTAAATGTTTTAAGGAACAAATAGTAACCAAAGTTACTTAAAGGTCACTGATGAACACCCATTCTCTATATTTATGCAACTACAACATGCAGTCGCTCTCCTTAATATAAGTTTATTGTGAAGGTTCAGAACCACCTTACCAGCTTCAAGTGTGAATTCTGCTCTCAGACAGAATGCTGCCTTATCTACTTCCTTTTGGAAAACTAAAAGCCAAATATTGCAGTACATTACTAGTTAAAAAGCACTACCAAGCCCCTTCTGCCTGCCCTAAACCACGCACGTTTATACTTTGATTCTTGAGAGGTTCCCTTAGAAAAAGACTAGAAGAAAAGCTGCTTACGCATTTTATCCAGTGGCATGTGAAATGATTTAATAGCTCTCACAGAAGGGAACAGAAACCATGTCTGTCTTTTCCAACATGAATCCCCAGTTGGTAAAATAAACTCAGAATTTCTTTTTGTTCTGTCTGGCCAAATGATGTTTAGACTGTAGCTATGCCCTTGTACTGAACATACCAGGAGGGGTGAAGACACTGACAACAGCTCATTTCCTGCTGGCAGGAGACTGCAGGAGATGGGTACATCAATAACTCTTCAGATGAAGAACACTAAACCAGACTTCCACATGCTGATCGAGTGCTTCAACTCTGGGTTCTTACTGCTCTTACTTTGTCCTTGCTACAGGTCCAACAAAGTCACTTTTAAGAAATGCCATAGTTACCTTTATCATGAAAATGAAGAATTCTCTCCCTTCAGTACTGAAGATGTATGCAGGGTGAGGAAAGTGAGTCTGAACATCTTGTTCCTTCCCTACTGGGCAGCCTTTAGCACGTGCATTCTGATTATAAGAACCTCCTTGTTAAGAAGTAATTTTTTTTCCCTTGATTTCAATGACAAAATCTTCTTGCACATTTTATTGGGAGGCTAAGTGCACAAGATTTGACATCTTGGAAATTACTTCTACATTTCTGTATCTGACTTCAGCTCTGTCCTAGATACATATCTCCGAATGACTTGCCTTGCATGCAACAAAATGTCAGAGACACTGTCTAAAGGTCAAGCTCCACATGTACACTGTTAATACCCAAATAAATACATTTTGCTACTACACTGAAAAGTATAAAATGGAAAGCTCAAAGTGCCAAACAGAAGCAAAAAATTGAGGAGTCAATTTCTCCGGTAACTAAAGACAGGAGTTCAAATTTACCCAGATGGCACTCTAACCTATCAAGACAGCAAACTGGAGTCTGTTTGCAGCTGGGTCACAAGTATTTTGCAGTTTTAAATCAGCCATAATCTCACAAGACCTCCAGCACCCTATTTTTTCAATGAGAATATGTTAGCAGAATCAAAGATAAACTGACACTGCCCTCCTATGTAAGATTTACCAGCAAGATGTGCATATACTTCAGTAAAGAGACAACTATGACAGAACAAAACTTTAGAGAAAAACATTTTCCCCAGTTGTTTTATTTAGATCATCTCAAACTCAATGACCTTTCTGAACAGACCTACCCAGACCTTGAAGGCTTCATGGGATTTACGTAAGCTATCTAACATTTTTTAAGAATTTTGCCAATTCAAACCAGACCAGAGCTTTTTTCTTTTTCAAAAACAATCACCTCCCATAATAATCCGAAAATCATATACTTTTGCAGCCTGAATTTTGCCACTCAGCCATGCTCAGTTCCCAGACACACCCCTGAATTACAGGGGATTGGATACTACCATTGCTAATGAAGGTAAGAATGCCTTTGTACTAACCCTTCACAATCTGAACTCTTGAGAAACCTACCAAACTTTGAAAAAAGTATCAACTTGGACGAATTTCAAAGTCTCTGTTCACTTTGTTTTTTGGTTGTTTGAACAGTCCTGGTTTCTGCAGGGTCTGCAAGAGTAATTTATTTGGGGGGGGGGGAGTATTTGCTACTTTTCATAAAAGCTTCCTGAAGCAACAGTTGTCTTCAGCTCCAAAGATGTCACTACCTATATCTTCACATGGAGTATTTTATAAGGCTGATGATATACAGCATTGTTTTAAAAAGTCCTGCCACCTGAAATTTATTAAAATAAGAACATGAGTTTCACTTAGAAAAATATTTCTAACCACCACACTTGTAGAGGAAAGTTTAAAAACATAAATACAAAGGACTCAAACCCAGAGACAATGTCAAGCATCTATTTAAAAAGTAACTTCTTTCCTCCTTAATCTGACCAGGACTGTCAGAATTGAGACATTTTACCTTTTCAATATCATATAAAATACAGTAAATTTGTTACCCTCCAAATTGTCTGGACTGTCAGAAGTGAGGCTTCCTTCTTCTCTGTTTAAGTATGAATCTTTCTTGTCCTTATGAAATTTTTCCAGCATTTTGAATTTAGACAAAGCCTTGCTGCGAGATGCACTAGAAGAAGGTTTAGGGGCATCTACTTTTAAGTATACACAAACATTTATAAGTTTTTATACATAATGGATAGGGAATAGAGAGAAAAATAAGATGTGAGAATTCAAATAGACACTTCTGAAAAAATTAAGGCAGTGCAGTTTCTTGCAGATTTAATTATTTATGATTTTCTAGCTGTAACTAATAATGTCTTAATACTTACAATTAAATTAAGAAAATGATGAATAAAACTTTCTTTTTTTTTAATTAAAAAAAAAAAGACACATTCCTTCCTGCTCCACTTACACCTTGCATTCAAATACACCGTTCTAGGAGCTCAATATATTACCAGAAAGAAAACTAGTAAAACTACTTCCAATAAAAAGTTTTGTACTACAAGTTTTGAAAGGAAGCATCTAAATCAGCTCAAATAAAAGTGGAAAAACATGGGTAGATAAATGTGCGTTACTACTGTCTTTATTCCCTGTCAGGTAAAAGAACTGCATGTTGTTTGCTCAAACCCTTGTGAGGATTTGCTTAGCAGCAAATACAGCCAAGCGTCCATTCACATTAGTAAAATTAAGTTTTAGAAATGCTGAAAACTGTGCTCTCTCATGATACTCAGATGAGAGTCACACTACACACTTTATATGCCTTAAGCTAGCACTGTATTAGACTTTTCCTTTTCAAATTGTGAGGGTGGAGGGGGCTTTTAAATTGCCTAATTCAGAGAAAATTCTCAGTTACAGGTCTTTTGAATTTACCTTGACATAAGAGAGAGCAAGAATAGTCTAGGACATGAGGCTAAATACTTTTGGTATCTAGAAATAAGACTACAGGGACATGACTAGAAGGTAACACAACTCAGAAACATCCAAGATGACTAAAGAAAGCTGGTGAGCAAATGACAAGTGCAGTGCAAAGAGAGAAACAGTATGAAATCCATTCTGATACAATTCATGGGTCTTTTATTCCCTCAACTGATGTTCAAGTCCACTAGTGAGGTATTACTTCTCTAGATGTATTCTCCCTGATTTACAGCTTGCCTCCTGTTGTAAATAATGCAAGCACCTGATGCCTTTTAAAACAGTAATTTAAAATAACCACCAAAGTCCTCCTATTGCTCGTATTTCAAATATTAAGCCTAATTCTAGAAACAGATTCAGTGCTAGTGTTTATCTCCCAGACCGAGATGCAATGGTTACTCTATGCAAATGAGGCTTATGAAAACAGGATAGCATACATGCTCTAGGAAGCTAACACAGGAAAATGTTCTACAGACTGTGTAGGTGATCACCAACATGAACTAAAGGCCAAGTGCCAAATATTTCTTTGTCATGGCTCTCCAAAATATTATTGATCTGCTTGAATTTAACACCAAAGCCACGTTCGACTACTACATACACATTAATTGCTATTGTCATTCACTCAGAAGTATTTAAAGTATCAACATTAGAAGTCTTAATTATTCCTTGGAGCTTCTCTTCAGATAGCATAAAAAGTGACGTCACATAAAAGATTGAAACCGAAGTTACATTGACTAAAATAATCCTGCAGATAAAACAACTTAGTTTGTCATTATCACATCAACTGTACTGTTTCCATTCCAGGGGAAGCATGCATAGAGCAGCCTTCTGGTCAGCAGAGGGAAAAAAATAAATACTTAAATAAGCAGATTACTTATTTGACCGCAGTCTTTGAAATTGAACAAGTAGAACAGTGAATATTAAAGTTTCTTGAGTATGAAATACAGAAAGTGTAAGAGATTTTCTTTTTACTAAACATACTGATTTTTGTTTAGATTTTCAAAGTTATCGCCCCACACCGGCTTACATTCAGTACTGTCTGTCCTATATCACTGTCGGTAGTGATGTACAGTGTGACGACAACTAAGCAAAGGCTCACAGAGTTGTTAGTTTCTTCTGGAAATGACAAAAGAAGTAAGAGGCAGCTTGCTTTTAGTGAGACCACTATGGTCAAATGGACGATTTGCAAAGGATTTTCTATAGGAAATGAACTAGATGCACTAACCTAAGGCTGATATTGAATAAATATAAAAAACCATATTTAATCAAATACCAGACTGGGAATCTGAATGGGGGCTCTTTTGCTCACTGCTTTCCATTATTTCAGCATGGCTTTCCATCAGTTTCTTCTCTTTTCTTGGTTTAACAAATCTTGTTTGAAAATCTTGAAAAATGAGACAAACAGCAAGAACAGACAGGCAAGCAAGACAAGACAGGAATTCTTATTATCCAATTTCGTTTTTATCATTTAAACGACAAAAGCAAGTAGAAAGGACATTAGTTAAAGGTAGGTCTTTAACCTGTCAAATATGGAAGACAGCATCTTGAATCATAATTTGCACATTTCAGTTTAAAGCTGAAGAACAAAGAGTTCAAACGTGCCTGGAATAACAAGTTGAAGTATGTTAAAATGTACTTCATATTTCTCAGCCAAATGAACAGAAATAGTCTACGCTGTTTACCATTAATCTACAAAAAGTGAAAACAGGCTATTAGTTCAAATCCCTAGCTATTTCTTGCCACTTCTTTAACAAGATGCCTTGGAAAATATTAGACAACACATAAATGTAGAGCATATATTTAGTCTTCCAGTCATCTCTCTTTGTGTCTTTCAAGAAGGCATGATATGATATAGATACCAAAGTAACTCAAAATGAAAACCTCAAACTGGAAACAACTTATCAGCTTGATGCATTATTCAAGATGATTAGCCAGACTTTCTTAGTATAATGTATCTATACAGTGCCACCCAAACACATCAACTCATACATATGGAGCAAGTATTTGCAAAGCCGTGCTGCACTGTGGGTGGAGGTAAGATTTACACAATTATGTAAGTTTGATTCAAGATGACAAAACATTTTAAACATAATTATTCTATTAGATGACAGCAATAAAGTCCTATATGCAACCAATGTGGAACCAATGCAACCAAATAGAATATACAAGGATCTCCACAAAACTTCGAAGCATGCCAACAGAAATTAAATTCAGCTTATTGCTGTATTTTGCTGTCATCACAGCAATAATATTTTTTTCCACAGGACAATTATTTTGCTATTTAGGGCACAATTAATAACCTTACAAAACTCTACAAATCTAAATCATCATCTTTTCTGTCATCCCATACAGTAACTTACATTGCAATGCTGTTGTGCCTTCTTACATTATTAACACATCTGAGCGACATACTACACAACATACACCTGCTGAAGAATAATAAATCTGGCAAAATTATATTTGATGAAGTACTTGGAAGCATGCAAGGCAAAAAGACACACAGAGGAAACGAAGAGCAGTTCTATCCACACTGAATTCCTTCCAGTCACCTGACCTGTCATTTTAAACCACTTCAAGTTTATCCACGTGAACTGAAATTGCAGCATAGTTTGTAGTGTGTGCACATGTATAAATTCTCCTTTATATGTGGGATTCATCATTCTCAGTTATAGATGCATAAAAGTTATCTACATTGAGAGCTGCAGAGGAACACTCAGTTTATACTGAAAGCAGCCAAGCTGACCTCAACAAAACGCTCTCTTCTTACTCTCAGTTAATTGCCCTGCAACTAGACTTTAGTTAGCAGAATGCCATTCACTGTATTACAGATTACTTCTGTGCTACATACTTCCTAATCTATCCCAGTGTATGTTAATACAATTGCTACCATTAGCAAGTGTCCAGTCTGGCAAATACAACCCTTTCTTCATGGGATGATACAACCAGGAGCTCTGCTTCATGCCACAGAGCTATTCTCTTCTCACTAAGATAGAGCCTGGAAAACCCTCTAGTAAAACTTGAAGGCCTGTCTGCTTGGTAATGTTAAAGTACTAGGTGGAATATGGCCTACTGCATGTGTCCTGCAAGCACAAAATTCTATGCAGAGTGATGACAAAGGTGTAGATGAAATAAAACTAATAATCTGGCTGGCAAAAATGGTGCTCAGGGAAGAATTCAGTGCACAGATCTAGCATTTTTGCCCCATATTCTTGTATCTGCCAAGATATGTTAGACCTCCGATTCACAGATTACTTTCAACTCCCTCCAAAACATCCAGTTCCTCATCAAGAATATGAACAGCTTCTTTTGCAAGCAAATGGATTCCACACTGGCAAAACTGGGTAGTCCCACCTTCTAAATGCTTTCCTGTTGAAGGAAGCATTTTTAAGAGACCCCCTAAAAAGTTTACCAGAACTCTATTTTATACGTCAATAAACTGCACATCAAGCATGTTTCAGTTCTTTATCTCTGGTTAAACTACAGAGCTGATAAGATATACTTAATTTAAAAAATAAAAGTGGTAGACTTGGTTTGGATGGGAACAACTTGACACAATCATATTATTTCTTCTGATTCTGCTTTGCATTGTGCTTAACCTATACAAGCACTGTTCTCCAAAACTTTTAATCACCCTGCCCTTTTAACTACCTATCCCAGTGTGTTTTCATTTAAGTAGCATGAGAAGCATCAAAGTGCTTTATGGGTTGCCTCAGGTATCTCAGAAAAAAAACATGGAAGAATGATGAACTTCTAAAGACACCTGAAAATTTTCTTTGATAGTATGTAGAAAAATGAGGTCATGCTAACCGCTTCATTCTCACACTTTGCTCAGCAAGAACACTCTGTCCTTTCATTTTTGGAAAAGCTGTAAGGAAATCATAGTATCTCATAACTACCTGACAGAAACTCCCTTGTATCCATCTGAGTTGTCCAGCAACATCTTAAAAGGCCAGGGACAGATAAGCACTCCAGACAATGGCACAACTGCTAAGATTTCACTCCTAATATGACAACACTGACGGGACACAGCTGTGTTTAAAGTCTAACAGCAGTATCTTAACTCTGTCATATGAAAAACTGACTTCTGGAACTTTCTGCTAAGCTCCAGTTGTAATTTATACAAATCATGAAAATAAGAAGCCACCAATTAATACAAGAACAAGAAGCAGGCACTCTGTAGAAACTAACTACTCATAGGCTTTATTACCCAGTAAGAAAACAATGAAGAAATGGAAAACTAGAGGTGGAAAGCTTGCAAACAATAATATATTTTCTTCCAGAACTATGTGACCAAGTCAATACTGAACTATTAATCATGTCATCACTGCCCTTTTCCCCTTGAGCCGTGGTTCTTGGCAATGGAAATGTTGAGAATACTGACAGACATACATCTCTGAATCAGTTGCTGTTGAAAAGTTTTTTCTTTGCTTCCCCAGCTTATTATAAATTTATATAAATTTATATAAGTTTATACAAATTGGTTTTTTTTCTCTTCTCTCTTGAAAACAGAAATCTGTAAAAGTCAGTACAAGGAACAGGTTGGTTACAAAACACACCTACAAACTTTTCAGCAGAATTCATGTCATATTTTTTAATTATCTTACTATTTATAATGTGTTTACTCTTTACAAGTTTTAGTAACTTGGAAGCTACAGAAAAAGCCAGCAGAAAACTTGCTTACAACTTGAAGACAATCCCTTTAAAAAAAAAAAAAATACAATTTGAGTTTTATACTTTACAAACTTCCATTTAGAACACTGTATAATGTTCTGTAGTACTTGAGTGGCATCAACTTAGTCTGAAGCCAGGCCTATACGAAGTATAAGAAAGAACTAGCCTGACCCCCTGTGGCCAAAATATTGCAGGATACATTATTTACCACCATTGTCCGAATCTTCTTCAGATAGCCACCACAGCACCGAATCCTTTTTCTTTGTTTCTTTTTTCCTGGGCTGTCCCAATGTCTCAAGAATGCTGGATTTTTTCTTTGAATTTCCAAGTGAATCATCTGAAAGAGACTGAGTCAAATGCATACCAGATTAAAAACAGCTTTTAAATTTTCACATTGTTCGACTGTCTTTCAGCCACTCAGTTCTGGACTTCGAGTTCAGATGCCGCTCTTTACTCACTACTGTGTGCCTTTTTTGTATATGCATAACAAAGTTGCGTAAGAAAACTATATTCATGTGGCATAATACTGTGTATTATAATAACCCTATTGCCAGTATTTGGGCATGTTGAAAGTTAACTGCTTAGTAGAGCGTATGTTCCAATGAACAGCATAATCAACTCTCTTTCATTTAATTACGACATGTAAGAATCAAAATCTGACCATACCCCTGAAGATAATGAAGTAGAGCAGAAAATGGTTTTGTGTTGGCCTTGCTTTGTACGTGAACAATGTTACAAATATCCTAAAAATAAGCCTTCACAAGCAACATTCTAGCTCCCAGCAAATCGTATTTCAGAAATTAATTTTATACTTTGTGTTCATGGAAATTAATAGAAATACCAGAACCATTCCAACTCCGTAACAAACTTTCATGTGTGTTAGTCACCCACGCTGATTTTGACTGATGGCTTAAATCAACAAAGAAAAGAAAAGTCTACAAGTACGAACATTCTGTGAATTGAAGTTACTGAAGAGTTAGCAGGAAGGAAATGACCCCCGTACGCTTCATAAGACAACAGCACTTTTTTGAAGTGATGCAGCTTTTTTTTTATTTAACTGGTCTCTGCTCTTTTCCTCACAGCATGCTCAGAGCCACAATTAGCTATCCAGACAGTGAACAAAGAAATATATGCGTTAAGCTACTGCACTGCAACCTTACATGCTTCATTTTTTTTGTGCTTAAACTCAGTAAGCATGGGGTTAAGGGAAGGGGCATACTTTTCATTTTTATCTCAACTTTAGCCATAATTGTTGAACCCAATTGTCTGAAAGTGTCTTAAAGAACACAATGAATAGAGTCAGCAAAAAGCCATAAAACATAAGAAACAAAGAATTCACATATGAAATGCATCATACGTGAAAAGTTCAAAAACTTCACTTTTGCAATAGCCTCGAATAAGAAAATTTGATAGTGTAAACAGAATACTAAACTCAACAGGATTGTTGGTACCTAATATGTAAAACATGAGGATGTTTTACTAAAGCAAGCCTCTGCAGTCCACTGCCTGATTCCTATTACATCAAAAGCACTACCATTAAAACCTACCTTTACTATATATCTAATGCTTCAATTTACACAGGCCTAATAAGTACATCCATAAATCAAATGCCAATTATCCAGAACTACCATTTAAGGAAAAAAAAACAAACCAAAACAACAAAGACAACTATAAGAAAATAATATTCTTGTGAGTATCTCAGACCAATAACATCTTTAGAGCTTTAGAAAATTTAAGTTGTCTGAGCTTTGCATTTTAATAAAACACAACTTTAATAAATTATAAAACTGCTGGACAACAGGATATACAGCAATTTCTTTCAGTTAGCTCAGTGACATAGAACAAAACAGCTTTACATTCATAACAAATGTCCTATAAGTAACAACTTACACTAGTCACAACACAAGTGTCACTGTCCCCGAAGGCTGGAGTGCCTCCTGCTAGCTAGGAGTACTGACAGGTGCTTGATGTTATCACTTGCTGTTTCTTTTATGACTACCAGTATCCTCTACTCTGCAAGCAGGACTTCTATGATCCTCATATTCCTTAGAGTTTTGTAACTAAAGAAGCTGAAACTCCCACTGGCTGTTCTCAAGTTCTGGAAACTTTCTAGGTCCAGCCATCTTGTCAACTGTGGACAGTAAAGTTGCAGCAGCTGGGAAAGAAATTCAGACACAAAAATACTAGTGTGTTTTTCCCAATATGTCAGCTGTCCCAACAGTGAAACTTACAGACTTTTTTGTTCCTTTGAAAAAAGTAAATAAAGAAGTTGATTGATTTATTTGGACCAGTAATGGCTTTTCAGCACCAGTAAGTGGCACTGATTTCTTCCTTCCCCTCCTCTATAAAACAGTCTGTCAGCCTTTCAGGAACACAGACACAGAAAAAGAAGAAAAAAGTGTCAGTTGTTTAATCTCAACTGAAAATAAAAAAGAGGGTCAATTTTAAGAACTGTGACAATTACATGGCACATAATCAGCTTACCACCTCCTATACACATGAAGAAATTTAAGAAAGTAGATAGGTAATACAGGATTGGATCTAAACCACTCAAACTTTCATGATGAGTTGTCCTAATTACTTCATGAAACAAGTCTTTTTCAAATGTTTTTCAAACATGGTTCAATGTGTAGTTTTACTCTTCCAGGTACTATTCACAGATTTTCTAACAAAGATGCTATAGCCTTTCCTTCTGAAAGTGTTCCTCCTCAACTGCCTGTGAATAGCAAGCAGAACAAGCCAACCTAGAAGACTAGAAGCAGACAATGGCTTTTTCATTAACTTTGCTTTGCTTGAAGTGTCATCAAAAAAGCAATTAATTGAAGCATTGTGTATTAGAAAGAGCTTCTCATGCTCCATGTCCCAAGGGAACTTCACACCCAACAGAGCGAACACTCTGAAACCTAGGAGCTATACCAATGACAGATGATGCTTAAAGGAAATTAAAGTGACAATAGAGGAAGCACACTAAAGCAAGATACTGGTGGTGGGGAGTGGAAGGACCACAGGCGCACAGACAATGGAGGAGGAAGAGAGAATCATGGATAACAATAGGCTGTTCCGGCAAAGGGTTGGGAATAGGCCTGACCAGGCAGAAGGAATCATTAGAAGACCTATCCTACATACAGTAACCATTCTCTCTCATTTGTGTATCCTTCTGTGTATTTATAAAAGTCTAGAAAATCCTCTTTACTGATAGCTTCAGTGCAAATGCCAAAATACTTCAGTTTAATCCCCATATTAGACCTGCATCATCCAACTGTCTTTCTTATAACTTTATACATTTTAATCACAAGCATACATACAACCGCCTCCCCCTGAAAAATAGAACCCCAACAAAAAACCAAAGGTAGTTTCACTATGCGTTACTTAAAAAGGAAAAAAACACCCTACTCCATTTCTTCTCTGAAAGATTTGCTTAAACAATATTAAATCTTCCTCAAACTACTAAGAAACAGTTTTCGCATTCTCCCTTGCTGTTATACTCTCAACACAAACATCACCTACAAAGCAATTTCAAACAATGGAGCACACCAGTTTCTTATCTTAACATTAAAGGGCTGCACATTCTTTTTTAAAAAACAAAAGCAAAGGGAGGGACGTAACAGAAGATGCAGGCGTATGAAATAGCAGAGAGTAGATAATGACATTGTTATTTGGGTCTGTAGCTGGCAAAATATAAAACAATGCACATTTTTAATGACTGGACCGGTAGTATATATATCAGTAGCATCATCTGTCACTGGTACACTACACTAAAACAAACAGGTTTAGTTTGAAATGATAAAAAACAACTAAGACATGCGTTGTTAAAAGTTATATTCTCTGGAACATGCCAAATACCACTTAGAATAATTCAATGCAGCTATTTTAATTTTTTTCTAACTCAAGCATTCTCTATGTCAGCAGTAGCTGGGGAGCATGAAGAACAAGTCAAATGAACAAAATACTAGAAGCAATCATACACAGTTTGACAGATGCACAAAATAAATAAAGGAATAAACCTCCTTTCTCTTCCCCAGAGCAGCTCCCTTTATAACAATAGTAAGTAAATAACTTTTGACAGAAATGCACAGCCTAATTTTCTATTTTTACTAACGATAATTTCAATGAATTCAAGAATGTCATCTCAATTACATCATCAAATTAAAGGCTAAAATCCACCTCCAAGTTATTTGTGAATCTTAATTTTCAGATGGCATTTTGGGTTTCTATTCTCTCAATTTAGGATTGCTCAGTGATGTTACATTTATCCTGTATCTGTAAAAACACCTCACAAGCTGCATGGTCAAGGCAGAGTTACAGACCTACCTAGGAAAGCTAAAATATTCCTGAAAAAGAAGCCTCTCATTACTACAGATCTTTACTACACAGTACAAAGTGCAATTTTTATAGAACCCAACACCTACATTTTTCACAAGTAATTAAACTGTAGCACAGCCTCTACATTAAAAACACTTTAAGCATACATTACATATAGCATAGACCCCAAGAATATTCTCTGCTGTCATTAGCTACTTATATATAGTAATAGAATCTAGTAAAGTATGTGGTATTTATATCTCAGGGTTACCACACTCTGTGTCTGATAGACCACAGGGAAAATTATGAAATTAAAGGTCGATATGCAGTGAAAAAACCCCATATCTAGTTAGTCCATTTGACCAAATTTGACAATTGTTAGTTTAAGTCATAACGCACTGACTTGCAAGATTTTGCCTGTATTCAAAATTGTCAAGCACCATGAGGAATAAGAGGAATCAAATTAAAATTTTCTAATCACTGCAACATACTTCATTTGTCAGGATTAGTAAGAATTTTTAAATAGAATTCAGTGGAATTAGATATTGCACAGAAAAATAAGGAGATTGTTAAAACATAGCTTGTGCTTACATACAGGAAAAGTTTTTAATCTCATTTTCAATTATACATTAATTTGAAGCATCTGCTACTAAGTAACACACAATTAAATTGAAACAAAAATCAAGAAGCAACAGCTCTTTCTGAAAATACAACCTAGCAGTGACAGTAAATAAAAATACTTATTTAATCACAAAGCTGTTCAATTTAAATACTACAGCATAGTATGAATTAAGTGTAGCAACGAAGCTAAGACCTTGCAAAAACCCAAACCTAAGACAGCCGTGTGAATTATGTGATAAAAACACAGCTGAATCTTCCATTTCATATTCTTCCATACTCAATTTCCCCACTGTATTTTAACAGAGAAAAGGGATGTGACCTTTCTCTAAAACATACCTCTTTCAGAAACTCTTCAAACTGCTCATCTAATTCTTCTTTTGAAAGTCGATGAGCCATAATCTGCACCTGGATGTTACCTTCCAAACAACAGAGTTTAAAACCTAAGATTTAAAAATAATTATAAGCATTGGGAAATCAGAGGTAACCCAGTGACTTGTTGCTTTCATAGAGAGCTTTAAGCAAAAAGTAAATATCGTGAGAGATGCCAAATTTCATTCCTCCCACCCCTAATCTAAATTATTTATTGATCAAAACCATCAGTGCAAACATACCTGGATTACCTAAAATTCCCTCATTTCCAAAACAACAGCTTCAGCAATTAAAATCTGGGGGACTGATAAAATATTATTTCCTTCAGCATCTTTACATTTCGAAAGACAGCTCTCCTAGCTATCCACAATTAAGTATTTTGGTAACGAACAACAATCCACTGCGGTAATACTTCCCATCTATTTTAAGGGCTTTTGAATTCCTTTTTACGTGTCTTCTCCAAAACCAGAGACATCTGGCATTTTAAGTTTTGCTTCATTGTCTCTGCTGTACTTAGAACTCACTAAACAATAAATACACGAAAGTGTTTTAAGATTAGAGGACGACATTTGGTTTGATTTGCCCTGACACGGAAAGCCAATGGTACTTGTCCCCCTCCCATTCCTCGAAATCTCTATTGACTTCTCAGGTATAACATATACCCCACACTCAAAATGCTACAGAGTTTTTGTGTATCAAGCTGCTCAACACATATGGCTACCTTCAAAACTGCATGTGTAACATTAAACTATCCTAGCCACTTCCAGGCTGAGAAGCACTAGTAAACATAAAAGGGCTAAACATTTGCAGAAATGCTTTTACCATTAAACAAAACTTCTCACAGTATGGAGCCCTCTCAGTACACAGGACTGTTACCTACCTAGTAAATTGAGTTTGACAGGTGAGTTGTGACAACTGCTTCCTGCTTTCACTCCTTATTCATCCATAGACCACCCGACACTTTGCCTTTGGCAGACAAAAAAAAAAGTTACAGCAGACTACCCAGACTCTGAACTGAATAAAATATCCTTATAAGATATACTTAGCAAGTAAGATACTCTTATATCCACTTGGCAGTATCTCTGAAAACACGGTAAGATTGTTACCTCACGACAAATATAAGCCAGTATCCTTTTATACTTTTACAAAGAACACTAGATGCTAAACACTAGATAGATGCTTTAGCAGTTTACTAGCTGTGCCAGCTACTTGAGCACATGCAAGCATTACTTGAGCATGAAGAATACGTAATTCCAGCCTTACCAGAAAAACAGACATTCTTCTGACATTACCTGTAGTTCTGTCTACCCTATAATTACATCTTTTACAAAAACTAACAATACGAAGGACAACAAATACGTCAGCCAATCTCTGTAACAGAAGATTACAGACAAACATCACCATCAGCAAATACACATTACAGCCGTACCTTGAGAACTGGAGGCGCACAAATGACTTCGTGCACAAAACAAAGAAATCACTTACTGGGGTATATGCTATGATACAGTGCAGAAAGCAGGTGGTTTTGTAAGATATGACTAAATCGCAGGGATGAAGGAAAGCTTATACCACCTAACACACTTCACATAAGCTTTTAATCATCCCAGCGGTAGGACCAGCCGTGACCTGATCCCCCTCCTCCTCCGGCTTCCCCTAAAGCACACGCAGAACTGGCACACGGCGGGGGCCGGGAAGCATCTCTGGCACCGGCGGCCCATGCTCGTTCCAACCCTAGCCCCGTCCTCCGGGCCCAGCGAGTGCTGTCGAGTGAGTGCGACAGCCCCCGGCACCGCGGGGGCCCGGGAGACGTGCGGGAGGGAAGATGAAGGGAGAAGAGCGGCCAGGCCGGGCCGGAGGGCAGAGCTCGGCTCCGCGGACCGCGCCAGAGAGCAGCTCAGAACCGAGCGCTGCTCTGTCCCGGGCGCCAGCAGCATACCTGGGCCGCGCCGAGCCC